ATCAATTTGTGGAGTAATTCATTTTCGATGTCGTATTTAATATTGTCGAACAGAAATGCATATCTGACTCCGATACAGTTATCGAGCACGTGCTATAACAAACATAACTAACAAGGTTAAGGTGCAACTAAATTCGCCTTTTATTATTCTCTTTTTTATAACTTTGCCATATTTTACAATATTTTTGCTAATTAGTGAGCTGCGTTTAAAAATATCAAATTGTCTGACTTATCATCAAGACTATTACTGAATTACTAACGAAACTTAAATTTCTGACGATTAATATCCAACGTGATTTATAGCAACAATTTTATTAACATATTATGCTAAAATTGCTACCAAATTACAAATTTCATTTATTTTTAACAACATATTATATTTTTTTGCCGATTAATAAGTTGCAGTTAAAAAAGCAAAATTGTCTGACTTATCGTCAAGGCTGTCACTGTGAATTACTAACGAAAATTAAATCTGTGACGATTAATATCTTTCTAACAGCATATTGATATTAAAAAAATTCAATAGTTTTTCAACGACGAAAAGGAAAGTGTTCGGACAGAAATAGAATAGAAAATTTTTCCCGTTCGTTTGTTGTACAATCGGCAGATCAAACGTCGATATTGAGAGATTAAGGTTGTCCGTTGGATCAAAACGTTATTATTGGTTATTTTACAAGGTTAATTACGAAATTAATTATTGCCGTTTAATGCATCGCGTTAAGCTCCAATGAAGAGACGGCCAACCTTGCGGAGAAGGTCTCGTCGATACTTTATCGATAACATAACACCTATACGCTGAACGCTCTAAAAATAATCACTCTGAATACTACGAACAATGTAAAATCTGCGTCTTATGTCGGACATGCATGGAACGTGTTCGTTCTACGTTTTCGTTTACGATCTTTCCTTTTTCGGCAATTCTTTTCGTCATTGTCAAACAGAAAGCAAAATGTTTTTTCCTAGTTTCGCTCGTAATTGTTTCATACACTTGTTAAGTATAGTCGTTGAAATTTCAGGTAAATTGTACAAGAACGATCGAGAGTTGATTAACAAACATCTGAGAAAAAAGCATTTTAACACTTTTCGCGTATCTTAATGTAGAAAATTACTGCGTTAATTAACTTGTCCAATTAATAAACTGAGTTTTAGTATCAGTGGTGGTTAAAAGTTGCAAACCAAAGCTACCTCGAGTTTCTCCAGTGCAGTTTCAAACGAACTGTATGGAATATCTGAATGAATTTTAATATTTACTCAATTTAACACAAACAAGCTTTTCATCTTTCATAATATAAGTATTTGTACAGTATAAATACTTCAGAGTATCACTGTAAACCTTTGCAGCAGTGTTTTATAACGTAGGTATTCAAAAACATAATTAATTTTAAATATACCATTTCCAAGGAGGTAAATTAATGAACTTTTTAATTCAAGAAATGTGTACACTAAGTTCACTTCCAGTTTACTGCTAGAATTCAACGTTCACTTTCATTTCCTTGATTATTCTTTTTAATACTTCATCTTCCTCGTCTGAGTTTACCTACTATTTCACCTTGCATTCAGCAATCATGTTAAAAAATAAAATTCATTCATAAAACCCACTTCGTTGCAAACAAAATTTCAAAAATTGTAAATTTTAATTTTTACAATTATCCTTGCTTCGGGAAAATGTAAAGTAACGTCGCAATATTTTTCTTTAACTTCTAATTCGCAATTGCATCGTCGATGAACAGCAAGCGAGTTGTATCGGTATTTAAACGAAGAGAAACACACAAATTACAATATTTAATCGACAATGGTAACGCATACAAATGTCCACTGCTTGTGTATATCATGCATGTTCGGCGTATAAAAAGGGAACACCATTGTTAAGTACTTGAAAATATTATGAAATGGCTTGACTCCTCGTTGCAAAAATGTCAGTGGTCGGGAAGAAAGGTTAAAGGTGTGTTAACGACGGGAAATACCCGTGGAGTGCATAAATCGCGATACAACAGGTCGGGGATATTAAAGACAGCTAAACTACATTTTCATTTGCCACCGCATTTGTTCCTATTCAAACCGCCCACCACTCTTTAAGAAGCTGTTTCCTTACGCTTTACGTACAAATCGAATCATTAACTCGTACACGTAATGATTCTTCGATGTCCCATTAATTCATTCCTACCGCGTTATATTTCCTAGCGCCGTTAAGTCGATGGTCATTTTCACTGGTAATTGTACGAAAACCCTTTAGAGCTCTGTGACAATAGGTGTTTACGCAAACAATAATAAGTTTGCCGTAAATAAACCGTAGAAAAATAAACTCGTTAGTGATATACATGCTACCAATTGTGGATCAAAGAGTAGCGAAAGAAAATCGTTAATAATTTCTGCACCTTCAAGTTTCATTTTCGTTACATATCTTTTGTGTACATCTAGCACAGGGATTATTCTCGAAATTTCTTAGTTCTTCAAGTTGTCGATAAGCGACTGTAATTAGAATTTTTGAAGCTGTTTGAAAGAAAAGGCAATACGGTTCGTTTCAGAAAGATCAATAAGATTCTGATTTTTGATTATAAGTAAGATTTTCATTATTACACGAAATGTTGGTAAATTAATTTTTAAACACCTACGTGCTTGTAAAATACGTGTTGCTTCTCTCACCGACCAATTTTGCTCCAAAAATAAAGCAAATTTTTTATACCCTCGTATTTTTCATCGTCCTACATGCATGCTTACAAAAATAATTCCGGTAAAGCTGTTTTTTCGAAAAATTTTAAAACAAACAAAGTAACAAAATAATAAAATTTTATACTGATGTAAAAAATGAATCAGTAGATATACAGGGTGTCCCGCAACTCTTCGAAAATCCGGAAATGGGGGGTTGCTGGGGTGACCCTGAACAACTTTTTCCTTGTCCAAAATGTAGTTTGAAGCTTCGTTTTCGAGTTATTAACGAAAAACACTGGCCAATCACAGCGCCCGTAGCGCCCGCGCTCAGGGACGGCCGAACAGAGATTCACCCGCGCGCTATCGTGAACGACGCGTACGCGTGACTTCTCGATTATCGATTGCTGTCAAAAAAGAAATGGTTTTTTGCCGTCATTCCGACGTTTGTATAAATTTTTGAAAAAACTGCAATTAGTCGGAATCACGAAGAAAATAGCGAAGGTCGTTTTTACAACTTTTATATCTGAGCTCGTAATGAAAATTTAAAAAATACGTTTTGTAGATCTATGTCAATTGTACACGTGCTGAAAATTTCATCGAAATCGGTTAATGTTTCTATGAGCTACAAACGGTTAAAGATTGTGAAAATCTGAAGCTTCATTTTTGAATTATTAACGAAAACCACTGGCCAATCAGAGCGCGCGCAGAGCCCGCGCCCAGGCACGGGAGCGCAGGGTCTCATCCGCGCGCGATCGTGAACAAACGCGTACGCGTTAAAAGCGACCTTCGCTATTTTCTTCACGATTCCGATTAATTGCAGTTTTTTCAAAAATTTATACAAACGTCGGAATGACGGCAAAACACCATTTCTCTAAGCCTTATAAAAATAGCGGTGCAAAGTCGAATTTTTTTGACAGCGATCGATAACCGAGAAGTCACGCGTACGCGTCGTTCACGATAGCGCGCGGGTAAATCTCTGTTCGCCCGCCCCTGAGCGCGGGAGCTACGGGCGTTGTGATTGGCCAGTGTTTTTCGTTAATAATTCGAAAACGAAGCTTCAAACTACATTTTGGACAAGGAAAAAGTTGTTCAGAGTCACCCCAGCAACCCCCCATTTCCGGATCTTCGAAGAGTTACGGGACACCCTGTATGTATATGTGTATATAGTAAAAGTTCTGTTTTAATTAAAAATAAAATTGATTCAATAATCGAACATATTAATACCATCAATTTAAGGATTTATACGTCATTGAAAATAAATATTGATAATTTAAATTAAATTACGATCGTGATAATAATCATTCGTACTTTTGGAGACCCTAGGCGAAACATCATTAACGAGACCTCAAAAGAACAAGTCTATTTCAGTATAATTAAATTCACACACATTTTTTTTCAAGCTTATTGAAAATAAAACTCGAAATTTCCACAATAACTCGTTTCAGTAAAACAAAAATATCCTTATTTGCGAGGAGTAAGGTTTTAAAATATGGCTCCACAGAGATCGAGAAGCCTCAGCTCGCCCCTGATGCACCTTACAGTAAACACGGCTCTGCTCGCAAACTAATTATTTCGATAACGCCATAACCTAAAAATCGTAACCTAAAAAAAGCTACGCCTCGTACAAGAAGGGGGAAGAACCTAACGTGAGATAAGAGAAAAATCGAAATCACGAATACGCATATATACTTGTTGCTCCGTAACATCTACCTCGATACGCATCAGAGCAGGTATAATAACCGGGCATCGTAGGCGCGCTCGGACCGACGTGACTGGCGCATAATAAACAGCGGGCAAACAGTGGAAAGCAAACAAACAAGGAGGTCCGCGGATGGTGGTGAAGGCGAACTGGAGCTGAAACAGACGTGAACAGACACAAATTGCAAGGCAAACAGAACGAATTGTCCGTGGAACGGGCAGGAGAAGAGGAGAGAGGGTGGAACTTGATAACTTAAAATCGCGTTCGAACATCGTTCCACAGATGCATGCATGCACGCACGCACACGATATGTACACTCTTCGTCCGGTACGGCGTATCGGTCGGTAATCAACGCGAAAGGTTAAAGGTGCTGTTCAGGGTGTCGTGTGAATGTACGCGGGTCCACGTGAGCGCAGGTGTGATCGTAGCTTTAACACGAGTGGGTGGCCCGGAGGGTGGCTTATCGACCAGGATACGAAGCTCCGGAGAAGCTCAGTATTCGCGGGACCACCACCCCGTCGAAACGATCTCTCGACTGAGCGGGATACAATAGTACACGGTGCTTCGCGTTGGTACAGTTCTATTTCGCTCGTCCAGCTCAATGTGCCGTTTGTCGTCGTGAGAATAAGCCCTTCTCCCAAGTAATCGGCGTTCTCCTTCGCGAATCGACGCAGCGTTTCTTCACGGAGGCTCGTCGAGGAAGCAATCAGCAAAGTAAGTCTTCTCTCTTCACACCGTTTGATACGACTCCCCCGTTCCTCCGTTTCACTCGGATTCTCTCTCTCTCTCTCTCTCTCTCTCTCTCTTTCTCTATGGCACCGACGACCGCGATGCTTCTTCGTCCTGTGTGTCGAGAGTAACTGAATTTATTAGCAAGTCACCCAGGGGAATTGAACCTGGGAATGTCGAAGTACTCGTTTGAGTTTCAAACCCACGGGGGAGAGACGAAGTTTGCGGTGATTGGTGAGGAGTGGACAACGTAAATACCAGGCGTCTTCCAACTTCCGCGATATTTCCGTGGTGCTTGTGGAGAAAGATGGACACTCGAGATGGGGAAAATTGGGAAAAGTGCGGTTCTCGTTAGAAATTCATTTGAGAGATAGTACGGTTCGTTTGGTAAATTCGTTTGTTATGGTGGTCGGTGTAAGTGTTGTGTATACATATATATCTTAGAACGCAGCTGGGTTTCGGATAATTCGCAAGTTGACGGAGGAGAAGTGTGATTTTAATATCGATCGATCGTCAATTTTTAACCGATCGACTCTTTTCCGTCAATTTTGCCGCCCATTTTCGCTACAGTCAAATGACCCAGTTGACGATCGAGTACTCATCGTGGATACGTGAGATATTGCCCGACGACCTGCGGTGACCCATTTATCGATTCTCGAGATTTTAATGAACTATTTCTACGATTGTTTTCATCGCGTTCACCCCTGCGCATCTCGTGCAGTGTTACCACCGCCAATCGCCCGTCTCTCCTCTTCGTTGCTCGTCTCGTCAAAGTGAAGATCCCCTTTGTTCCGAACCCAATTTAACCAACCTAACCTAACCTTAACGAATCTCCTTCGAACACATTCAAACACCTTTCCGTCTTATCGTCGTACACTTTTTCTGGTCATCTTTGCCTAGATCTCGTTCAGTAGGTCAGACATCTCGGAAAAGAAGGTTCTCTGTAGCGCCAGAGAAATCGCGTTGTTCGCTACTTTTCCGGTTCCCCGTGATCTACAGAGGCGAGAGGGACGCGTATATTAAAATTACTCTACAAATAGATACCCGCTATGTTAAAGCAAAGAGTACATTGACCTCGATTACCGAATCTATCGAGGCGAAATATAGTTATACGCGGCTGGAACCGAGCCAGGCGAAGTTGCAACTGCATTTAGTGCGACTGGCAGCCGTGAGTCAACGTACGAGGAATCCCCTTTTCGTCGTCGACGTATCCATAAATCAATGTTATTCAACGTTCGCGACGATCTCCGGGTCTTTCGTACGGTCGATAATTAGGTCTTCGTGAGAATCAGACAGAAACGTTCGATTCCGTTTCGCGCGAGCCACGACGAGAAGAAATTATGCGCGAGGAAACCGAACGAGTCCTCGAGCTTTAAAGATAATCAGATTTGCCATCGTTGGAAAGGTAGGCAATCGAAATAAGGGAAAATTAAAAGGAAGAAACGGATCAATGGAATATTTATGTAAACTTCAGGGGCACGTTGAAGCTATTAATTGGTTCGTGAATCAGCTATAGACGATCGGAAAAATTCGAACAATTCTGATCTACCCGAAGAAATATGTAAAACGATTGATCATGAAGAATTGGAGGAACTTTCTGTTCGAAGGGAAATTTCGAATAATTGTTGTAAGATGTATTGGCGAGGATGTTAAAGGGGTGTATATGTGGCTAATAATTAGAGTAAATCGATGAAGGAAAGGTCAAGTGTTGAAGGAATTTCGTTGAATTGAATTTAGAGGCAATGGCTGGTGAATGATTTTCTGGTGATCGTCGGGGAACGCTTATTTTCACGCAGTGCACTGGACACCCCTGTAGATTGGTACCTTCCGCGAAAGGGTGAACCACCTTGATGTCGTGCCACCTTCGATAAAACTAACTTGCATGCACCATGCGAAGGAGCGTATTTGCATAAATACTTCCCAAGCTATTTTCTTTTATCGTTCAGACTACACCTTCCACGGTTCGTTCAATTAGACAGTTGGTAAAAATCAGCGGTCCTTTAACCAATCTTCTCAAGTGAGAAAATCTCGAGGAATTCTTCGGAACACCACCAATCGCGATTTTTTTTTTAAGAATTTCTGATTTGCGAATCAAAACCGAAGGATCTGTTGAAAGCAACGTGACACACAAGCTCGTTGCGTATTACTCCGTAAAACCGAAATTAGTCGCACAGCGTGGACGCGTGTGGTGGCTGTTTATAACGGTGAACAATCTGTTTACTAATTTTTGCTCTCGAAACTAGCTAGCGTGTCCCGTTAATCCAATTCCGTGAATCGATAATTCTTCCATGCATGAAATAGATTATCGATCGTCCTCTAATTATTTACGTTCTAGGGCCAGGGACTGGATCCTGCGAAAAAAAAAAAGAGAGAGAGAACCTTTCTAAATGCGAAACTTTTTCTTTCTCCCCCTTGACACGGATCGTCTGTTCGTTTACCAACAAACCGTATTAAATATGAGAATTCACCACGAACCTATCCAGAAATCGAACGAGAAACACCGCCTCCAATTATTTAAACCCCTATCTCGCTTTGCATATCGCATATGCGAAATATCCAATCCGATATGTATACATACACCCGTTTGGACCTAAATTTCACAAGTAGACCAACCAGAGAAAGATCATCCTTTTTACTCAACTAGTTCGTTTCCGTGAAACGAACCAAAAAAAGTGGAGCGAATCGGAGGCGCGGAGAAAACAGACGAGTCCACTGTGCGCTCGCGTAACGTGCACACATATTAATCCAACGTATATTTCCCTGTTTCCTTTTTCTTCGACACGTCCCTCTGCTAAAAGAGAAGGGTTGGAGAGAGAAAGAGAGAATCTCGCGAGCTTTTGGCAGAAATCCAAGACGGACCGGAGCGGAGTACTGGTTGCACATTCGGTGTGTCTATAGCCATTCCACTCTCGTCGGTGCACATGCAGCTGCAGCCATGACACCAGGAATCAGGCCACTGTCCCACTTTACGCCTTTCCGAGCAATAAAGGTTACCCCTTCGCTCGTCGTGCACGTAACCGAGTCGTTGCGAAACTTGTACGATTCCGGCTGGAAAAGCAAGATGTTGGGACCGGTATTTCACCCCGGGTCGGATGATCGAAGACGGTTAGACAGGTGGAAAAATACGGGTTCGCGGGCAGTTTGATGACAATCGCGGCGGCCTTGGAACTTCGTTTACAAACCACCGCGTTACCCCCGCTGCGAAAAGCTCGCGCGATCATTGACGAGGTCCTCTTGAACGTTCAGCCTTGAAAGTTCTCCGCGCCGCGAATCTAGGTTCCACCAGAATCGGCACACTCTTACGGTTTCTTTTGTAGCCTCTTTTTTAATTGTTCTACGCTGTACCCGAGATCCCGGCGCAGCGGTATTTTGCGAGTATTAGAAAGTTTGTTGGTGAGAAATTTATTCGCGGATATATGTAATATCGCCTGTGGTTTGGGTTTTTGAAAATTTTTGGATAATTTGCTTGAGTATTCTCTCGATAAAAATGGTTTGTTAGAGTAACGATTGGTTGGATTAGTAAAATCTCTGTTGCGAGGAATTTTGGGCTCCTCAGCTTGAGTGAAAAAAAAATTTCATCAACGATGCACAAAATAATAGGTACATCGTTGTGTTAAAAATTTGAACAGTGACTTTCTAAAGAATTTTTAAAATTTTTACACTTTTCACGACGTACCTTAATTTTGGTATACAGTTTCTCTTTTACAAAATGTTTCAGGAACATTTTCACAGATCAGTTAGATTAGTAAAATTTCTGAAAAAATGTGGTATTATAAAAATCGGTTTCTATTGCAACTGTACGTCGCTTTGGTATAACTAAATTTCGAAAATGATTATTCGAACAATTTCAGTCACGAAAGTCTGATTTAATGATACAGTAAAAATTGTTCAAGTCGTTCGTTAATATCGTTTATTTCATTTCATATGTTCGCCGGATACGAGACAATTCAAGTCCACTCAGAAAAAGCATAAATTTGAAAAAAACCGAATGCTTTTCAAATAACTTTATATTCCTTCGATTTTTTTTTTTAATTAATACGAAAACAGAAGAATAAAGCGACACGATAACTATGTAGGTTAGCCAGTATAACAGCGGTTGAAGCTTTCTGTTCAAACAGAAGCAGAACAATAGGAGGGAATTCAATAATTGGACGATTCACGAATAAAGTAGTAGCTTTTCGCTCAAACGTATGAGTAAACAGATCAGAATTGTAGAATATTCGGTCCTGTGACTCCTTTCTGTCTGTCCAACCTCCGCCTGAAATTCGTATGCAGTTGAATACCCTGGGCTGTACAACGTACAGCAACACAGCTCGTGCACGTTGAATCGCGTGTCGTTCATCTTTCGTCCTTCGTGAACGTAACCGTGGGCACGCGAGACCGTGTTTATCATTATCACGTGCAGAATTATTCTTTTATAAGGGTAACGATGAAATACGACGTTCTTGCCGGCCAGTCTATCACACAGGTAAAGGAATTCCACTTTCGACAATTCATTGTTACCGCAAAGACTAAAAGCTATCAACAATCCTTGAACTTAAGTGAAATATGCGCGATTTACTTTGAACAATTTCGAAGGGAAGATCTAGCGTATTTAAGTTTTCACGTAATTCCAAAATGACGAATTTAGAAATTACTCAAGGACTCCGTTTCTTTCATATATTATATTACAATTCGAAACGAGTGGGAGAGATTCTTTGTGTCTCCCTTTAAGACAAAACACACCTAACCCTTTGATAGTGAGATTCATAGCACAGATATGTGAAAGGAGTTCTATACCTCTTACTGCAATTTTTCTAAAGTATTGTAAAATCAGAGTACTGAGTTATCGAGTATCTTTCGAATCACTGGATCTCAGTTTCCCATGAAAAATACAAGATCTACATACGAAATCGTTTAAAACACAGAATTTATTCTTGAAGAGCAAGAAACGAGGAGATATACACGAAGCAGTGTTAAAAAGATCATCTAAAATTGTCAAGAAATTCCAGCGAAAGGATAACCTTAAGAAAAATGTATCTGGTTTTTCTTGTATCGATCCGACGACGAAAACTGGATCAGCTGAATCATCGACGAAGATGATGGAAGCGTTGGTGGGTTAGAAGTTGAAACGTGCTCTCTGTGGCCGTGCTAATTTCAACGCAACCGGTCGATTCCGAAAGGAAATCAAGGAGGACGCCAAAAACGGGTCTGCAATAGTTTTCCAGCCGTGCAGCTGCACCCTGTGCAAGCTCTGCTGTTCGATAACCGAGGTGCAACGGCCGTCGGCCCCAAGAGCGTATCTAGGCCACCGGCACCAGCATTTCCACCACCACCAGCACCACCATCAATATCATTGCTACTGCTACAACCATCGCGAGCCATCGTGCATTAATACTACAATATTGTTGTTGTTGCTGTTCGTTATACGAGCCACTCACAAGCCAAAATGATTAACTCCATTTTTTTTTTCATATTCTTCCATTTTTGGTATCAACGCACATGCTTGGTGCTTAATGTTTCATAGATAAAAGAAATTTCAGGAATTTTGTTCGATGGAATTAGGTTATGTTAGGTTTGGCCAAAGTGGTTAACTCCATTTTTTCATATTCTTCCAATTTCAGTATCGAAGAACATGTTTGGTGCTTAATTTTTCATAAATAAATCAAATTTCAGGAATTTTGTTCGATGGAGTTAGGTTATGTTAGGTTTGGCCAAAGTGGTTAACTCCATTTTTTCATATTCTTCCAATTTCAGTATCGAAGAACATGTTTGGTGCTTAATTTTTCATAAATAAATCAAATTTCAGGAATTTTGTTCGATGGAGTTAGGTTATGTTAGGTTTGGCCAAAGTGGTTAACTCCATTTTTTCATATTCTTCCAATTTCAGTATCGAAGAACATGTTTGGTGCTTAATTTTTCATAAATAAATCAAATTTCAGGAATTTTGTTCGATGGAGTTAGGTTATGTTAGGTTTGGCCAAAGTGGTTAACTCCATTTTTTCATATTCTTCCAATTTCAGTATCGAAGAACATGTTTGGTGCTTAATTTTTCATAAATAAATCAAATTTCAGGAATTTTATTTGATAGAGTAAGATTAGAATAGGTATGGCTTCTGAGTGGCTCGTACGTGTATAAGGTCCAGCAAAAAGAGCTAATCTGATCTGTTTAAGGCATATGTAAGATTTACATTTTTTTTTATTAAAGGTAATAGGTTTAGTTAAATGAATTTATTCTATGAAAAATTATCGTACAGTCTGATGTAACAGAATCCTTGCTGGAATATGTTTATTCTTAGTGTAAAAGCTTTTACCTAACGAAACCGTCAGATCTTTTTGCTGTACCACACGGTCGAATCAGGGAACCACATTTTTTGGTTAATGACAGGAACGAAGCAAATAGGATGTAAGGATTGGACGAGATAATTGATGAAATTTAATCGAACTATTAAACGAATCGAGCTTTCCGAAATTATTTTAAATTGGAAATCGTTTTAGGAATTTCGTGCAATTAGGCTGTTAATTTTGAAAGAATTTAGAGAAGTAAATTGAATGTGAAGATTGAACGAACAGTGCGTGTGCAATATGAAAGTACTTTTTATTACAGTTAAATGTTTTTAAATAATTTGAAAAAATTGTGTCGTTGAAAATTCAACCCGCATAATTTTCATATGAAATCTGTGAAATTTCAGTAACAACCATTGTGCAAGATATCGCAAAATACGCTCGTAATTATCCTTGCCAATAAGTTAACAATATTCCCGTCGTCAATCGATGCGAAAGGTCACTACTATTTTTTATCGGACAAGTGCACTTTGAAAATATTACGGGGCCAAAGTTACGCGTGTTTTGTACTGTAAAATTCACTTTGCATGAGTTTGTGTGCAACAGAAGCGACCTAATTCTAAATTCTTCAAGTATACACATTTCCAAAGACAAAAAACCCTACAATTTCGGCGAGATCGAGTCTACCGCAAAATTTATTCGTTTCCCATTTCAAAAAATTTTCCAATTTCCATGAGAAAAAAAAAGAGAATCCGATCGAATTAAAAACGAGTACAATAAAAATTCTTAAACGGCGCTGCTCGACGCGCCATTGAACATTGGCAAACTGAAAAGGTAACACTGTAAGCTTCAAAGGAATTCCAGCAAATCCAATTTCCCTGTATCAATCGCAGAAAGTACATCATAAAAAGAAACTAGGCGAAGCTTCCATAGGAAGACGTTTAAAGCTGTGCCAAGGACACGATCATTAGTCGCACTAGAGACACAAGTTTCCATTTAACATCGGACCTTCTCGCACACCACCACCGCCTTGTCATCGATCGCCTGGAGGAAAAAGCAGAAGAAGAAGAATTATAGAAGACAGCGATCTCGAGTTTCGCCGGTATACAGTGGAAGGACAACGGATTGCCACATGTTGAGCGAACAATAAGAACAGCTCTGTCGTGGAAACGCGACACGCTCGGTTTCTTTGTCGTGCAAACGCGTTAGAAAAAGGGATGTCCGCGGCCGATCGGGAAATTAAAGCCAAGGACAGGCTGCAACCTATCTTTGAGATCGAACAACCAGTGGGGAGGGTCGCGTTATTACTGTTTTATCGTCAAGCTGTGGCGGCGGCTTGGGGGCTTCCCCTTGTTTTCCCGAGTCGACACCGGCCGACAGTTAATACTGGATGTTACTCGAGCACCGGGGAAAGTTCCGTAAGGACGTCAGCTTGAAACGTGAACTTAGGAAACGAAGGATCGTTCTCGACGTCGATAGGCGATTTCAGTAGACATACACGCGTAATCCTCGTTACACAGGCTTGTTGAAAACTTTACGGTATGGTTATCTACACGCGTGCCGAAGGATGAAAAATTCGGAATTGTAAGATTTGTCGAAGCGGTACAGGATATCTTGCCAATTCTTTTATACAGGGTGGGCCACTTAATTTTCTTCTCTAGCTATGGCGGGACGAGAAAATTTTTATACGTAATTGAAATGGTTTCGAAGGGTGAATAATTTTTTCGATCGAAAGAAGTTTCACGTTTGATTTAAAATTTTAGAGTCCAAGGTCGTTTTATGGTCACATCGATATTTGCTACAGTTAAAAGGAATATGTACATTCGTGTAAAAAAATATAGGTGATGTTGAAAAAATTGGCAAAATTTGTTTTTCAAAAAAATTTTCTCGTTGGCACTTCCTTGTGTATTCCACAACGTCTTCAAAATAATGCTAATGTTGCGATCATAACAGTAATTTACTTTGAGCACACGTGCGCGGTGCAAGTACAGCTTTTACGGTGCAAGAGCGTAATGTGAAATTCTTCATGAGAATACTTGTGGATGTGAAAATTCTTCACAAACGTGAACTCCCGCATTTCTATAGAAAAACGATGAAGCTATTTGTGCGTGCAAATTCGTAGGAAAAAGTTAGAAATTAAATCTACGTTCCGATGAAAATTCATCGTTACTAGACATCGATCTTCAAATTGACCAATATTTAAATACCCCGAAGTAAAGAAAAAGGAATTTCGAACTGACCTTTTACTTTCTCTATTAGTCCGAAGCAATACTAATACCGAGAATATAAAAGTGATCCACTTTTTCGAGCTCGTATAAGCGATTTACAGGGAAAGGACCACAGATAGATTTCTCTCAACAGTTCGGAGTTCACGCGACACCCACGTTCCCCACGAAAAGATATTTAAATTACAAAAGTTTGCGCGGTGCAATTAAAAGTGTATCGCAATCAACGAGAAATTGTTCATTATCGATCGAACGGTTTCGCTTCGTTCACTTCACACTTGTATTTTCTTTTCATCATCGTCATCATCCTCTGTCGATTATTCCAAGGGACAATTGATATCCGGTTTATCATATTTTCAATTAACCATCGACGAGTATCGATTCGAAGAATAACCAACTTTTTTCTCGTGTGTCCCTGTTTTTAAAGATGATTACGGCGTTGCCAGTGCCCTCGGTGAAGGTCTTCCACAAAACTTATTACCAGGAAAAAGGATCCAGGATAGCGAGCAGTCAACCTGGAAGCCCTTTAGCTGAAAGTGAAGCGGTCCTGGCGCTAGTTGACAAAGAACCACCAGAATATTACTTTTGTGGCAAGGTAAGAAGTAACGAATGAATAAATAGTACAGTTTCAGGAAATAGTTCAATGTAAAATTGCTAAATTAAGTGTTACGTATAAAACGTGAGAAAAATCAACGATTTTCTGAACGGTAATATTTGTTAAATACCTAAATATCGAACTTGGCATAGTTAAATGTCGAATTAGATAATTAACACAAATGTGGAAAATTGCAAGAGGCAAATTTAGCGTCTAAAATTCTCGGAAATTACAATTACACTGAAAGGACAGGAATAAAGTTTTAAAATATGAAAACTTACTGAAATGACTAATTGTTTAAAATAATAACTACAAAGGGACAATATCGCTTTGAACACGTGTTAACTGATTAAATATAAAAGTGAAGAAGTGAATCACATGATACAACAATTTAGTTCATTCGGTATATATTTTCGTATTAATATTCGTGTAATTAAGAAATTGGCAAACTTCGTTTGTAATCTCGATTGACTGAAGCCACTTCTAACGTTGGTCTTCCTGTACAACTGCCGCTGGCTGCTCCTTCGATTTGCTTTCGACCACTTCAGAATGCAAATATAATTTGCACACACAAAGTTTATGCTTATGAAAGACGTAAATTTCCTCGGAAATTGTTACACTTCTTACCAACCGTTTATACTAAGATCGTTCATCATTTCTTGATCGATCTGAAATAAACTATGTGTAGAGGCACGTTTCCAAGCTGAGCTCTCGAAGTTGGCGAATTACGTAAAACTGGGGTGGTTAGTCATTGACGAAAAACAGCGTTTGTGCATTGTTGCAAAATTTTCCACGAAGAAAACTGGAACGCGATCTCGATAAACGACGAAGTACGCAAATGTGCATTGTCCGCGATTCTCTAGAACGCTGTAAATTCCTTTGGCAATTATCTTGATTTGCTTTTGTGTCAAACATTTCTCGCTTTGCCCAACAATCACACTTCACTGCAGTCGGCAAAAACTTTTCAATCTACTCAAGTGCGCTCTTTCGATGGTCGTACGTGTTCAAGAAACGATCGCTAATACTTCTGCTACTGCTGACGCAACGTTTCATCTCTTGATCCAAATGTTCCATACCTTCTCGACGTCTGTGTGGGATGTTACGTATTTTCACATAATATTGTAGCTTTTTCTTTCTACGCTAAAAAACATTGATGAAGAATGTATGTATATTTTTTTTTATTTGTTTATTTTAAGTCATCAATCTCTAAGTTGGGTTATTTGTACATGCAGAAACAGTATTTACAGTTTTTGAAGATTGGTATTTTTGTAAGAATTTTAGTAGCTGTTGTATTTTTTGGAGGCAATCTTGGAGGCAATCTTGCAATTTCTATAAAGAATGCGTATTATTGCAATGAAAACAAAAACAAAGAAAAATACCTGTTCCTGTGAAAACGAAATTTTTCGTTTTAGAAAGTCTAAATAGAACAGTCTTCATTATTAAGATCTATTTTCAATATACTTATTGTATATTTCACATATCCTTCGCATATTTTGGTATACTTCTACATATTATACTTTCATATTTCACACACTTTGACATAATGTATTTTAAGTGCACAAACGTCCACGGTCCAATTGTGATTAATTAATAAATAAAAACAGAGATCCTTAATTATCAATACTGTGATAGATAAATATTGATTTATATTGTACCGAAATATTATTTTTCTTTCTAGTAAATTTTCACGAATCAAAGATTTACAATTAATTAATACAACATACATTCCTGTGCAACTAATCTCGAATATTACTTCCACGAAATATTCACTTGTCAACGTGGAATTCTTTACAACGAAGTTTATAAATTTAACTCGTATCGCGTTATGAAAAAAAGATTCCCTTGTAATTTTCCCTGAAAAAAAATCAATCGTATAAAATCAATACTTAAGAACGACGTGAAAAAAATCTACCAGCAGAGGAAATTATGTAGTATTATTTATCAGATCCCGCCGGATCTCTTCATAAATAGAATTTCTGGACTAAATTCGGTTAAAAAAAAAAAAGGAAAAAAATGGCGAACGTGATCCGCGTGCGAACACGTGAACTTAAAGCTAGTGAAACGCGCTCGGAAGTAAACTCGCGGGAAAGAAGGAGGCTACGAGGAGCCGCTTATGAATTTCAAATGATTTCTACTTGAGATTTCGAAGGGAAATTACCTGCGAATGCGAAACTTTCGGCCGTTCAGACGGTTCCAACGAATTCGCCGGGATTAACATTTTTTATTGCTCGCGGGAAACTGGGTTAAGAAAAGGACTGTCAGTGAAACGCGCAGGACACAAAGGATCGGTGAAATTTTTCACGAATTTATAAAGAAGCCGGACACGATGTTAAGTCGAGGCAAATTGCTCGCGAACACGGAACTTGAAAATGTAATGTACATGTACGAAAGGTGCGTCGAATTCGATGATGTCCTTCGTTACTCTTGGAAAATTGGGCTTAGATTGTAGGTAGACTGATTCGGGGTAAATTGAGAGGGAGGAAAGGATTAAATTTGGAACAATCAAATTTTGACGAATTTCTAGATAATATTTAATTTTTATGTAAAGGTAAAATACGAATCATTTTCACTAATAATTCTTAAAGTGTCTAAGTGATTTTTCTAAATACTTTTCACACGATATCACATAGATTTACACTTTGTACAGGTAAAATGATTTTAAAATTATCTTGATTTCAGAAAATTGTATTTTTTCGAAGACTTAAATTATTTCTAAGATTCGACGATACGCAGGGTGTCTCTGAACTAGTGGTACAACGTGAAATAGGGTAAATCTACGTGAAAAATATTTTTTTCTATTTATTGAATTAATTACAATCAATTCTGACAGAGATTTCTAAGTAATTTAGGTTAGCGTGTTACAGTGACATGAAAAGTAACTGTCACAAGAGGTTATTTACAATTTAGCTTATAACGTATTATATTACACGAAAAAATAAGTCGAAAACGTAGAGTAACATTTTTCTATACGAAGCTCCATACTTGAATAAATCAATGTTGAAGATTCGTCGAGTGCGCGTGTACTTACGCATAATCTCACTTACGCCTACGTTTAACGCATATCAGTGCAAAACTGTGTTTCTGTTTGGGTTTATCCCTCCATAAAAAAAGAAAATAATAAATGAAACTTTTTATAATATTGATCATAAGCAATGTTAGCAATATTTTACAAGAAGATTGAAAACTGGTGCGTTAGTTGGGGAAATAGCATTAATCACTGACAAACAGCATAAATAACTGCTCAATAAGTATAAAAATAACGATTTATACGTACACGCGCAAAGAAGCCAAGAGGAATTTAACATAATAGATATATTACAGTGGCAAGGTCCGTTATTTTCTACCATACTCCGAAAGGTGAAGGTTGAAAGAAAGAGTTAGAGCAAGCATAATCTACGAAGTAACCATGTAGATGAAATTTTAACTTTAAAATCCCCTAATTCTTGGTCCGTTTCTAATTTCGTGTCTCGTAATTCGTATTTTATTTCGACGATCTTTCCTCTGTAACAAAACTTCACCTAATTTCTGTAATACTAAAAGATGTGGTCGTTTCACTTTTTCGAAATTTTTGAAAATTTAGAATTAAATACTTCTCTTCCTTTCGAGAATTTAGTTGAACTGAATACTAAGAATTTTGATTGCTGTCTTGTTAAATTTCACGTCGCATAAACTCAATAATACCGAAAAAATTAGCTTTTAAATTGCACAGAAGGTCGTAAATTTTCTTAGAAAGTATTTCACAATTTTTAACAGTATCGTTTAAAATTCCACGAAATTTGATATTCGTAATTTTTAATAAATTAACTTTACCGTTATCCGTTAAATTGCAACGAAATTTCGGTATCGATAGACTCGGCAACAACAAAAGGAGAGGTTGTAAATTTCCCGGTAAAACACGCATCGTTGCGATTGTTATTCTAAGGAAGGCACATCTCGTAGCTCTCTGGTTATCATTTAAATAAACAGAGAGCGTTCGAACCATGCAATAAATCACGAACTAACTACAATTCGAGGGAGCTTTAATTAAAGATTCATTCGTCGAATCCTTTAATTGGCGTTTTCAACAATTATCAATCCTGCCGAATCCCATTAAGTAAACAAAATTCAAACGAAAACGAACCGATCGACAATATATTCTCGAAAATAGTGTACCAACTGTATACATATTTCCACGAACAGAACATTAAACGTACATTTTGGGAAACTTGCGATTCTTTGTTTGCCGTTAGGTTTTCCCGAAATTTCACTGAACACAGGTCGAAAACGGGAGAAAGATCGAAACGTGAATTTCGCTGAAACTACCTCAAAATTCGGTGTTGACTCTTACACAGCGTGAATCACCTAACGCGGTCACTTTGGATCATTTTATTATCAATAAGCCGATCCAAATTTTTTTCATATCGAAGAGACCTTCAACGTTACGATAGATTTCTTCAAAATTTCCGAAGTCACCTTCAGTTCTTCTGGCTGCAATTTAACGGCCATTGAAACGAATTCAAAAACGGTTCGACAAAAATTCAAGATTAAAGACCTCTGAACCGTATCATGCGGTAGAAAAAAATTTCGATCGATCCACTAACGGCAGAATAATGAAAGGTGATGAAAGGACACCCGATACTCGGATCCGCGGGAGTCGATGAAATCTTGCGGAGTAGCGGAGAAGCTGCGAATTAACCGCGAATTTTCCTTCGCATAATTATTCGCTGGAAAACTGGATGACTGCTCGTCGCGGTCGCCTGGCAAATTACCATCGTGGAAATGGAATATTTCCGCGGCGTGGAGATTGTGACGTCATTGAAAACTCGTAGGCGTTCTGTGGAAGCGGTCTGTAACTACACGATAAAGCACGCGGCCTCTCCTGTTTAGAATTTATTTTCGATCCTCACCTCCCTCCGGTTATCTTCACAGAGCAATTTTTATGGACATCCTTCCCCGACAATCGACACTAAATTTAGTTACACTTTTTTTTTTTACACGTAAACGACGATCTTCTTCTTCATTGTTGACACAGCTTTCGGGATAATAATAGGGCGGCGTTCCGGCGATCTAGTATTTTTATTGTTGTAAGAAAGTTCGTGCGGTACAGCACAATGTAAATCACTGTCGATTATTGGGTGAAAATGTGGCGTTTTCATCGCTTACGGTTCAATCAGAGTTGATAGACACGCAGTGAAAATAAAAAGGACAAATTAGTGCCGTTGAGAGAGTATTCCCATTTGGAAACGTCATTTTTACGCGATTTTTAGGATAAAAGATTATTAGATAGTTATAAACTAAGGGACTTGAAATTTTTCATACATATTTGTACATGTTTCAGGAGAGCACAGTGTAATTTTTGTGTAGTTTTCTTAATTATTATTTAAGTTATTACATTTTTCTCGCAGAGTGTCATTCTGAATGCATGCTGAAAGTCAAAGATAATCGTAATCTTAAAGGAAAATGCATTTTGACAAAATGACAGCCATGTTTTATCGTGCAAATTTTTATTTCTTCAGGTGATAGAAAAGAACTATTGGAAGAGATTGGTCGATTCATTGTATATGACACTTTTTTGAAATCATTGTAACTTTGTCATTTCGTCGATTTCACACATTTTCAAGGTACACGAATTTTCGACTCTTCCAAATGGGAATATGTACTTCTTTAAATTGTACAGTTGCTTCACAGGTGTGACACTATTTTATGTTCCTCGAGTAAAATGAAATTAGAAGATTTAACAAACGGTACACGAAAATTGCAATTAAAAAGGTTTTTACTGTACGTTAGATTCTAACCAGTAATTCAATTTGAATTACCAAATAAGAGAGACGTTAGGTTTTCGGTGTTTCAGTAGCTACATAATACGTATTGCGTGGTTACAAGCTAAATTTAAATCTGCTATCTAGCTGAAAATGGTGTAACTCGAGGAATTAATTAAAATCTTCAAGGTCCAGCCTTGAAACACGATGTTATCGAATATATAGTCAGGTAGATCAGAGGGGAAATACGAGGCAGAAATTTTCTCGTTTTCAATGATAAAAATCCATTTCTCTCTACTTACCTTGGAAATTCCATAGTAATTTGAGAAATCTTTCACTACGAAAGAAACGAAGTTCAACGCAAAATAATTCAGAATTTCTGAATATTTCTCAAATCGTTCGAATTCTAATCGTTGGGAATACCTCGAAGGCGATTCCCTAAGATGCATTTTCGAAACAGTTGAAATGGAATAATTTATGAAAAAAATATTATTTGTCGTAGGGAAGAAATTTATTACAGCGAAGCGTATCCTCGTGGTGCATATTATGAAATCAGTGTTTAAAGGTTAAAGTACAACGAGGCACTTGCAGCCCTTTTATCTGACTACAATACCGTCCTTTATCGTTTGAACCCCGCGTAAATATACTGACTTTTTATAGGCTCCACGCGCACTTTCAACAATTTCTCCTACGCAGTGCAATTTTGCCAAAAGTGCGTCGAAAATTAACGACGGAACACCTGCCCGTAATTGCGTGATTTCATTAATGACAAAATTTCGAAATATGTTATACACCTTGAAACGTAAAGTTTCGGCATTGTGTTCCGTTTTGAGTTCTCAGTTGCGAGGCATTTCAAGAATTGTGTTTCTAATTAAGTCGGTTCACTTCTGTACAACGTAGTAGAAACAATGTTTGCTTTCGCGTCACGCTATATATAAAGGAGGTTCCTCCTTCAAACTTGAACCTCGCGTTTAGTAAATTCGTAGCTCATTAACGGTAGCTGGCACAACGTTAAACGAAGTTTTCCTTTTCAGATAATGCATATTCCAAATGTACGAAGAATTATTTAAATTAAAAAAAAAAAAGAAACGTCTTTGTTCTTCGAAATTATTTTCGAAGTTAAGAATGATTGCTTCAACAACAAAGCAAGACGATAAAACGTGAAATCTTATTGTTCATCGATATTCTTGTTTCAGTGCAATTTTACTTTGAAAAATACGAGCTGCGAGCAGTTTAACTATACGAACTTCGCAAAAACTATAACGATACCAAGCAACTCCATATTAATTAAAAGGTGTACATAAAAGCTGTACTTAAAAAAGGAGGTTATTTCAACAATAAAACACGAATACAACAGCAGTCACATGAAATAATTGAAAAAGAACAATATCTAGTAATTAATTTTCATAAAATTATACGTTTCGAACCCATTCGTGATAATATCAAATTTATGGTATCAGGTCATCCCGTATGTAACGCATATATTTTCCTCTTCTCAAGAAAAGAATCAATCCTCGATAGATTTCTCTCTCATTTCTCACAGCAGCGTCTTATTTGTCCACCAATTTTATCGCTCGTTCTCTTCAAAGACGTTCTCGATTTTTCGGAAATACTGCTTACCGGGTGACCTGATAATTAGCGCAAAGTGTGAACGATGAGGCTGATTATCGATTGAAGTTCTCTTTTTCTTTTTTTTTTTTTTTTCATCTTTTCGAAGGTCAATTCTTTACACGTGGTAGTTGGATCGTTGCTGCTTGGTGCTGTGGTGCTGGTGGTAGGCCTGGTGCAGCTTGCACCCGGAGCAGAAGCTGCACAAAACTCGACCGCCCTTATTGTCGTCGGGTGCAGTTTGCTGGTGGTCGGTGTGTTCCTTGCGCCCCTCAGAGCTTTGTGCATCAAGAAACAAAAGGCTGCCCAGAAGGATGGTACACATCAAAGAAGTGTTACCAGCATAGACATGCTACTGGCACAGCACAGGTGACGACCCTTTTCTTTAATCGTTTAATAATTGAAACAACATGAACAATGATGCGAGCAAATATGTTCGATTTATTCATTTATTCATGGAGTTTTTTATTCCTTTGTTTTAAGCGAGCTGGTGTTTCGCGGTAGATAAACGCGTTCGCTAGGTAAAAATCGATACCACTTCTTTTTCATTATTTAGCTGATGAATGAATGTAATAAAATTTAAATAATCCGCACGTAAAATACAACAAAGTTACCTGATCGTGTTTGTTCCTTTTTTTTTCTCTCTCTCTCTCTAGTATAGATTAAATATACACAATGGAACTTTCAAGAATGCCAATCTAATTTTACAAGTCTATTAAGAAAATAATGTAGATGACATTATTTAGAATGTTAGAAGAATTTGTGAAATAGCATAGATACTGCCTGTCAATTGATAAGTAGAAAGTTAGTTTGTTCTTAATCACAACCCTTTGTCCACGTTCCAGAAAGAAAAGAAAATAGGAGAACAAATGAAAATTCCTGAAATGTCAAAACCACAGTTCCTAATTTTTTTTCGAACGAAATTCTGAAAATTCCAATTAAAAATCGATACGAAAGAACGAAAGCAAACAGTATATATAAAAAAAAAAAAAGAAGATGTACATAGAGAATACGAATAATAACATCGCGTAAATTTCTTCTGTAAGCAGAGACTTCACGGTTCTGACGCCAGACGAACTGGAGGACCTCGTTGGCCGGCCCACCTCTGCCCTGGAGAACAAAATCCGCAAACAGGGCCACAATACCTAGGTACTGTCGGCCTCGAAGAAGGCCCATCCATCGTCACCACCGTGCTCGAACACGCCATCATCATCGACGTCACCAGGAACTAGTTCATCCATTCTCTACACGCATCGTTACGACTCTCGTGAACACAGTCTTGTTTAAAATGACAAAAAAAAAAGAAAGAAGGAAAGAAGGAATCTGACGTACCGTCAGCCTGATTTCTTTTTTTGTCTTCTTCTTCTTAGAAAGAATCAAATTTTCGACTATTGTGCACGCGGCAAGAGCAGCTCTTTCTTTCTACGAAGATTGCACGCTTGCCTTTAGCAGCGCTTGAGTACAAGCGGAATCCCTATGGCGAACGAGTGAAATGTCACGGGTGTGTAACAAGAACGATCACGTTTGCTCTTTCAGTTGTTAAACGCACTGGCGTATCGAATATCGCGCCTGCTGCCACACACTGTTCGAGTTTCTTTTTCCGATTGATTGGACCGCTGTTGCTTCGTCTTGCAACGGACGGGTCCAATTGTTTCGAAAAGGAAAACGCGGAAGGAGATCGTTCGGAAAGAAAATCGTGGTGAACGAAAAAGAAAAAAACAAACCCGATGACGTGATTAGAAGAGATATCGACTGAAGATGTTGGAAGTTTAAAAAAAAAAAACTACGGAAGAAATACAACGTATAGGTGAATAATAATTAATGATCTATTGGACGAACAATTATTTCCGATCGTGACATTTTCTTCGCAATATCGACTGGATCGATCAGAGTGGTCGCTAAACGGGAGTTTTCATTGGCGAGACATTCTTGAGAAAGCGAGCGAAAGGGATTGAATTCGCGTAAAAGTGAAGCAAAAAGGGACCTAATAATCGGCTGCCTTCCTTTAATCATTATTCAAATCCCCTCCCCTCGATTTTCACTTTAGGATCTTTCTTTATTGAGCACGTGTAGCAGACGTTTCTTTTGTTCGAGAGCAAAAGCACATCTGCCTGTTTGCTCGTGAACGATCCTGTACCGAATATTTTAGTAAAATCGTGTAATACGTTAAACATAGTCAGTCCCGTGATCGATTCGTTGGCTCGAAAATCGTCGAGAACAGCGAAACACAGACCGTGTTTATGATTTTACGTTTCTACTCGGTCTTTAGACAAGTTACTTATCGTTAGATAATGGTAAAAAAAAAAAAAAAAGAGTAACGTTTCGATATAGTGAAATCGACTCGTACGCGCGTGATTCTTAAAAAGGGAGAGACTACCTTTTGTTGTACTCGTTCAAGACTGTACTAAACGACGAAATCAGTCGTACCACGAGCAGGCAGAACGACAATGTTCGTCGTCGAAGGGGTCTAAGCTTGTTTGTCCGTGAAATAAATCTGCGTTCGAAGAATCCTTCAGCAGGGAGGGGGGAGAAAGATCGGTTGAAAATTTTGCTGCAGACGGTAAATAATCGAATTGTCGTGAGAAACACCCTAAAGGCTGCTTCATCGGCTAACGACCACTGGAAGCTTTCGATTCTTCAGGACACCGTTTAACATAAGAGACCAAAAAAGCAATTTCGTTCGAGACTTCATTGTGTTCAAATCGCCAAGATACAAGTCTGACTCTCAAGTACGTTAACCCTTTAAAACGTTATTAAAAATAGATCGATCGGTCGATGTGCCGCGGACGAGAAAAAAAGAACAAAAACAAGTTGTATATCGTAAAATTTTTTGTATGAGAAAATTTAGATTAATTACGGCACTTGAATTACATTCATTGCAACCACACACATTTTATCGAGGGAGAGAAAACAGCGACGAAGCAAAAAAGAAAAAAAGAGGAGGGGAGGAGAAAAGAATGAAACGCGAGGAAACAGAGAGAGAGAGGATAGATAAATTTTCGTGCATCGACAACGCGTGAGGCTTGAAAATGTGATTTTAGGAACGATCAAGCGAATCACGTATATAGCTTGGAGCGGCCTTGTTAACAGTCACAAACACCCGGCAGATACTCGTAGAATATTTTTAGTCGGGCCTCGATGCCCGTTCACTTGCCAGTAATACATTTAAGTGAATAATTCTCACACAAAGTATCTATCACCGCATGATGTATTTGCACATATCTTCGAGTACTAAATAGTAGCATGTAAACGAATTTGGAGAAAGAGAAAAGTGGAGATGGAGAAAGAGAGAGAGGAGATTTCTCGTATTGAAAATAGTATCGAAACACGAGAGTCGATGGTTCGAAGAAAGAGCTTCTTAACGAAAGAAGAAGCGATGTCCAATTTACCGTGATTCTCTAGATGAAAAGGAATTTACAAAACGTGTTAGAAAACTCTTTCACTGAACCGTTATTACGATACTGACGACAAAGTAGCATCGTTTATCATGTCATCGATGATGGGTAAATCCCCAGCGTTTCGTGTTCTCACTCGCGATGCACTTTAACCTAGCATGATTTCTTTAACATCCATCTATTCCTCTAAAAAAGCACATACACTCACTCACACACACACACGAAACGACTGAATACACACAGAATGATACTTACTTTCGGATATCGAGTTCCTGCAAAATTATCACGAATGTCTTGTCAATACTGTCTGTGTTCGATGAGATACGTTTCGAAAAAGAGAAAAAGAATTAAATTAAAGGGGGGGGGGGGGGATAGACACCGAGCCGAACCTACTTGAGATACTTCGTGAGCTGCTAGTGAATTTTACGAGCGACGATATATTTCATAAAATATTTTTATGGTCGATAAATTCGATGAAAGAGTTAAGGAACAAAGTGCGGAGAGAGGTTTGCGATATGCATTACGTGTATAGATATATACATATGCATATATCGTTTAAATCAACAACTAATTTGACAGATACATCTAAATACAGATAATACGAGAATCGTGGCTGTACTTAGGTTAATGACAGAATTTATGTATATGTACTTCACCGTGAGTCCGATTTGTTGATTTTGTTGATTTGCGCAGCATCGTTCGTGCGGAATTCTTTTCACAATTCACCAAAAAAAGGATTTCATGAGGGTTTTAATGATTCTTCATCGCGCAACGATGTATCGTATTCACATAAAGAGATGACAAAGACGAATGTGACGCGATTCCTCTTCGTTGTGTGTGTCCATTAAGCGAAATTGTGGAATATAATAATATGACATTCTATTCCACGAGTGATTATGAAGAAATTCGTGGTTTTCATTGATTATTCAGACGCAATTAGAAGAAACTCGATGGATCGAACGCGTCGCGGCTAGACAACGAGGCCACGAACGCTGAAATATACTGAGAGAGGAATATTAATAAATGATGTGCTTCATATTACGAAACATAAATCGATGTTTAGGCTTAGTCCATAGGCGTTAAGGCTGCTCGTTCGTATTCTTAAAAAGATGGTGAAGTGAACGAGACTCTCGAAGGTGGATTTAAATATTGTCGAATTTAAAGATGATTGCTCGAGAAAAACGATCGTATCGATCCCAGAAAGGCTGTTAGAATCATATTACATTTTCTATTTCATGCGTAATATGATTGATAGTTTCATGTATCAGTCTTCGATTCGCGCTATACGCCTAGGCGATAGTAGAGGATCGTTTTATATTTAATGGCTGAAATCTTAAATAACATACATATAGAGAATTAAGGGTATCTTACTGTTAAAAATTTTCTACGAGAATCTAATTTACGAAAATACTCAAAATCAGTTTCATTTTAACACTAATATTTTTGTTAGATACTTAATATAAATAATATATATGTATAAAACGGAATGAAAAATTTATACATGACAACGTCAGAAGAAAATCGCTGCGATATTTTACAAAAATAAAAAAAAAAGAAGATAGTCACTTATGCTGATTTCATTTTTTCATCATTCTAATTGTTGAACTATTAACATTAACACATATACTCAGCACATACATGAGGTCAAGATGGTCGTAAGAAAACGGGCTAATTATCGTAACGAATCACACGTCAAGAGAGGACAGCTTAAAAACGAATTCATTATGGTAGTTTTGATGAGAACGTGCACTTAAATCAAAATTTTCTCTTGTAGTTCGTAAACCATAGACAATGCAGAAGGTGATGTTATGATCGATTTGCAACATGCACGATTCATTTACAAATTTCATACGTATAATTCGAACTTTTATGTGATATTTCTTTAATATTTCATCTATTTAATATCGAACGATAACTACTGTCGCCTTGGCGTGTAGAATGTATCCGACCACACGATCATCGTGAAAAGTCTATCATTCAAGATTTTTACCAATTTTCTCATCGTCGGCTAACGACAACGATGCGCATGGTGTTCTCTCTTTTAAACCAAGAAACAAAACAAACAAACAAAAAAAAGAACGACAAATTCGCACTTGCAGCGTAAACGTTTAAGTAGCATTACACCTTCTTTCATCGAGAAATAGAACAAAGTAAGTGAACGCAGCTTAATCGAACCACGTTTCTTTACGTAAAACTCACAGAATAACACGATCGGTTTCATTTTTAACAATCGCTAATAATCATAACGATAGCGATATAAGGTTAAACGATAGCGTAAACGATAACGTAACTAAGTTAAGTAAGGAAACATAGAACGTGGATAGAGGACGTAGCGTTTATTTCAAGTAAATTCATGAACAAACAAATTCACGCCTGCAAATTTTTCTTTTTCTTTTTTTTTTTCTTTGTTCATTTCGTTCACAGACAATGGACACGGTTCCGAAACAAAAATTCTTTCTGATCTTCGATTGATCAGATGAACACGATCAAAATGATCCGCGCTAATGTTTTCTTTCATAACGTTTTTATTAGAAGTGTGTATAGCAGTAGCAAACGTTGAATTTATTAACTTTGCACTTCACTGTTTCGTAACAAATTAATCTAACATCGACACATGTACGATGACAGTTAACTGAATTACGTAAAATAATCGATTCTACTTTATGATTTATGAAATGAGCATTACTTCATCCCATCAGTCGGGGATCAATGAGGCAGCGCGTATATTATATGTTTCTTCTTTTAGCAACGAGCGATGAATTTCGAAGGAAACATATCTATCGAGCAAGCGATACGTAGATAACTATTTTTTCATTGCCATTAGTATATACAGCCGAGAGGAGTAAACAAACAAAAAGAGAAAAAAAAAAGGAGAAAAAAGGGAAAGAACGACATCCCATTTCGCTGAGATTTCCTTCTACAGTGAGAGACGTTTGCCTTAATTTGTAAGATGTCCGCTTCCTTTACATATATAAATATATATATCTTAGGAAGAGTTAGCGAAGACAAATAGTTTCGACGAGGGATAAATATGAATACGTTTCTAGGCGAGCAAGCAATTATTTTCGAATGTGAGAGGTAATTTGTAATAGATAAGGAGAAAAGGTGATGGAAATATTTTTGGGGGAAATCGTCTCGTGAAATTCGGATTCTTCACTTTTCTTGGTGAAATTCGTTTCGTTGTAGAACGTGAAAATGAAAAAAAAAAAAAACGATAGGCACATTGTCATCGTTAAAATTATGATTTCTCTCTGTTTCAAGTTGCAAATTTATCGTTTCCTTCTTTGTCTGATGCTTAATCGTTTTAAGATATTGTATTTCTCCCCAAGATATTACTCCCATGGTAGTACTTAATATAAAGCGAATCTGGATAAGGTGCAACAAGGAGAGAATCATACGTATAATGTACAAAAAAATATTTTTTAACTTTAAGGAAAAAGATTAAGCTGATTAAACTTGTACTGAGCATTATGTATTCAAAACAAAAAAAAAAAAAAATCGGTATTCTTTCATTCCATATCTTTCAGCAAAATTACTTTTTCGAATTATCATGAACGCATCTAACCTATGAACCTAACGCGTAATAATAAGAATTATATGATTTCTACGATAAATATTCATCATCTTTATTTGTATAAGATCATTATAGTAATATTTATGATAATAATTGATAGAGAGAGAAAAAAATGGTTCCTTGTTGCACATTGCTATCCAGCTTAATGTTAAGTCATTCAACGCACACACTTAGCTGTAAGGGTTTTTATAATGGTGCTCTATGAGATCGTCTCTGCCGTCGAATGCCGATATCATCACACGATTCGTCTCTTTTTAATATCAAAGCTTTTCTTTTTGTCGCTTATTAATGCTAGAAAGAAGGAATTGAAGGAATATTGCGCGTACATCTTCGGCTTACTCCATAGAACACCATGGTACACGCCGAGTACTTTTACTGTAAATATTAGGGTATATAACAGAGGGATATAAAGGTGATAAAAAAAACAGGGATAGATTGAGTTTATTAACGCGCAATGATGACTTTTCTGTTGGTCATCGGGAATATTCGATGGCCGTAAAACTGATTATTATTGTTATTCTTATTGTATAGGTAGCCGTTTAATGACCAATTCGGATGTCACGCTGAAATTATTAAGACGAATTTCAATTAGAGTTACTGGTGGATGGTTTTTAATTCGTGTCTGATAAAAGTGGTTGTTATCGAGAGAAACTTTGAAAACGTGCTGATCAGTATAATTTTTATTTATAATCCATTCGTGTACCTTTAATTCCTACTATTTAACATATTTAAATTAGCATCGAACATTGAATCGATAACGTTACATTAATACCATTGATCATAATTTTCCCTTAAAGTTGTTTAACTGTGTATTCATATAATCTGCGGCCGAATTTCGGCATGAAACTCAAATTTATCAGATACGAATTAACGAGGCGCTATACGTCACACAAAAACGTACGAAAAACGGCTTAATGCAAGAAAAAAATTTTGTAACGGTACGAATACACTATCGTATTGCCGATTAGTACACGTAATCGAGAAAGTTCTATCAATAAGCTTAAAACTAGAGATATCACAATAACATTTATGGAATAATGATAAAACGTTCACGATGGCGTAATTTTTCATCGTTATATCCATAAAAAAAATCCACCCGACATTGTTTCCATAATCCAACATTATTACATATCGTTCTATAAACACAAATCTCAAAACACACGGTAAAGAAATGTTCCAAAATTATATACTGTAGTTCTGATTAATGAGTTTCTTCCCTATTTAATAGTATAGTCGAAGGCTTATGATTAGTTACATAGTAAAAGTGGCTCTCAAGAACCAACTGGGATAAAGCAAACTTTTCATAGCGAAAAGTTTAGTCTGTTTTATCACTGCCAGAGAGTATTTGAGAAATAATGCAGATTTCCTAAAGTATGATTAAGAATATTAACATTAATCGATCAGGTTTTTCATTTAGAAGCAAGCGGATCGTGATCGATTATATGATTTAATCGTTACTTTTTAGTATGTACATGTATATTTGAGATGAAACTCGAATTTCTTTTAGAAAAGTACAAAGAGAAATAAATTATTGTTGTATAGTATTCAGATATTCATTAATAAAAAAAAAGAAAAGTGAAGACAGAAAGTAAATGTAATCAAATATCGATGTTCCCTTTCGCCATCGTAAACGTATTAAAACTGCTACTAATGGCTATTATACATTAAAAATATTTTATCTGGAATATTATTACCTTGTCGCTTGAAAATTGTGTTAATCTGTATATTTTGTATGCAAAGATTATCGATAGCGATTAATAAAGATACTATTACGACAGAAATTATGGTTCTAATTGTCAAGAAATGAAGAAATATTTAAAAAATACATACATTTAAAATTTTTAAATTTCAAGAAATGGTAGTCGTCACTTAATTGTACGAAACATTGTCTATTGGAAACAAAAAGTTTATTAGATATGACATTTCTTCATTAATTATATAAGAATAGTTAGGAATAAATTTTATCAATGATTAATGTTTCATCAAATCTAATTAACGAATTCATAGTAGAATTGTCAATAAATAACAAATTTTTATCACAACTTTGTTTTTTCATAGTATAAATAACATGTAGATAATGCATAAAACATAAAATAAAAGATAAACTTATCCATATAGGCTTTGTTTTCATAATTCTAAAATAAGTTATCAATTTCAAATGTTGCATACGTAACAAATTTATATGTATTTATACTTATGTATATATTATTAACAGTAATGATAAGTTAACTGTTAATTCATACGCTGATACTAAGAAATTTTCTTGATAATTCTCAACTTTTATTTGTACTAAGTACAAGTACTGCGAGAATATAAAATCGAAAATAAATAAAATTCAAAAACCTATATAGAAATATTTCATTTGTAATTATAACATTTTAGTTTTATTTATATACTGGTTTTAGTTACAATAAACATATTAATGAATTATATTCTTAATCTGTACAGGTAAAATTAGAAAATTGAATAAATATTGAATGCATGTGCACATATAGGAACGAGAACTGGAGTGAGCCCTTGCCAGAGAATTGAAGATTTGATAAGATTTGTGGAGACATCTGATGGCTACCGTCGAACCACTCAGAAATTTGGGGAATTTGAGGGATCCGCAATTGCCCCCCTAAGAAGTCCGTGGCGTCTAGAGATGTTACAATAGTGATTTTATAATTATAACGAATATACATGAAAACCAGGTTTTATGTTTCGGGCGCCCTCGATAAGATCATAGAACCCAACGGAAAAGGTTTAATGGCCACCGATGTAATTGCAAATGGCTGACATAATGATAGAGGATGGGCCTTGATTTCGCATGCCCAAAACTAATAGTTTTAAAAATGTCGTGTAGTATTGACATATGTTAATTTTAACAGTGTTTATTATTGAAATTATTGTCGCTATTGTGTGTGAATTAAACTCAAGTAGGGTAAGTGTAACAAAGTACGCGGGAAAAAATGACTCGTGGCCGGAGACACGCGCCCTCAGTTAAACTCATCCGGTAACCGTTTCGGTGCACGTAAGCGCGTGGAATTTCGAATTAATCGATAGCATTGTGATTGTACGAAGTCGTGGTCAAAAAATATCGTTTATAATGTGAAATGTGTTACTGCACCGTTGTTAAAAATAATATGTATGAGTTATAACGTGTATAATCACAAGAAAAAGGTAAACAATGAATCTGTTGGCGCGGTATCTATTGCACGCCGCGTGCTTTTAGTGTACTCCGTTAAAGGTTGGGGCTTATGTCGTGTAATTACAGAGAATATTTTATGTAATTTCGTTTCATTCTCTTTTTTACTGGATAATTTGTGTATTTCTGCTTCAATTCATCGTTAATAGTGTGATCATAAATGAATTAATAGTAAAATTAACCTTTTTATCTCGATATCTATGGAATCCGTCCGCTTATAGTAGGTATCATATATATCTTAAGTGAGAAAAAGAAAAGCGTCTAATTGTTGTGCTACAAAGAATTTTGTTTATCTTAATACAACTATTCGAGTGATCTGCGTAATAATTATGTTTAACTACATGTTATTAAATAATAATGTGATCCGTTATACTTTTAATAACAAAGTTTTGTGAATTATTTCTTTATTTATTTTATACGATTTATGTTACTTACGTATTTAAATTAATAGGGAAGATTTCAAAAATTGAAATTTTTATCTTTTTCATTAATGTTGAACATATATTTCTTTTGTAATTTGAAATAATGTTTTTAATTTCATGATCTTTTCTCAGGAAAAATAAACAATACAAGATTACCACAAAGTAAAATAAAATAAAAATGCCTGCTGTGAGCATTTGTGACCCAGTTGCGGCTACACTCCGCCGTACTTTGGAAACTAGCCAATCTAAAACATCCGATGATTTGTCAGCAAGTTTAGTTACTAGTGCATCAAGAATTATTCAGTCAGAAATTCAGTACAAAGAAGTAGATGATTATCAAACAACAATTTTGGATCAACTTAAAGCCAAATACATTGTATTAACCTTACCAAATTCAGAAAATTCAGATGATAAAGTGAAAGATGGAGCAAATTATATGAAAAGAAACAATAAAGTATCCAAAGGACCCAGTTTACCAGAACCAACTGTTACTTTATATTCTCCAAAGAAAGTTAGTCTAGGATGGAAGGGCACGTTTCCAGTTGGAGCTGGCATGTACAATGTTGGAAATACATGTTACTTAAACAGCACTCTTCAAGCTCTGTTTCACGTACCAGCACTTGTTAACTGGTTATTGTCAGACTTACATCACACATCAAAATGTGAACAAAATGGTAAGTTTTTAAAATTTGTAATTTACACTTTACATTTTGTAAACTTGTAAAAATGAGATTATAATCCCACAGTTTTGTATCGTATTTTGATAATAGGTTAGTTTTAGATGGAGGTGGAGAGTGCCTTACATGTGCAGTGGCTAAAACTCTACAATTTAGCCATCAGAAGTCAGGATGTGCTATTAAGCCATTCTATGTGTATAACAAATTAAAACGTAAGTATTTCATAATTATACAGTATTTATAAATTGTTATTAAACCTTATATACTTGATGATACACTCTTTATATTTGTTTATTAGTTATTTGTCGAACCATGGTACCAGGGCAGCAAGAAGACGCTCACGAGTTTTTACGATATTTACTAGAAGGCATGGAGAAAGCTTATTTAGCAAGACATAAAGCCAGTAAACTAGACAATTATTCTAAAGAAACAACACCCATTAATCAAATTTTTGGTGGCTATATTCGTACCGAAGTAAAGTGCCTACAATGTCGGCATGTTTCCACTACCTTTCAACACTTTCAAGTATATATAACAAATTTTATATATAACTACAATTATCTAAGTGCACAATTAACTAAGTGTGTTTTTATCTTTCCACAGGACTTATTGGTCGATATACGTAAAGCAAGTACTCTGGATGAAGCATTAAGTAGTTATTTTAGTCGTGAACAATTAGATAACAATGATTATAAATGTGAGGCTTGTAAAAGAAGAGTTCCTGCTACAAAACAGTTTAGCTTAGAACGACCTCCTAAAGTGCTTTGTGTACAACTAAAACGATTCAGTGTTCTAGGAGGAAAAATATCTAAACATATAGGTTTCAAGCAAATTATAGATATGGGCCCTTACCTTTGGAGAGAACCAGGAGATCCTATTCAACCACTTACATATAAACTTATGTCAATGGTTACACATATGGGTCCATCAGTAAATTGTGGGCATTACACAGCGGTTGCCAAGGTTTCAACAGGCCAATATTATTCCTTTGACGATTCTTGCGTATGTATCAATAATATTGCTTTAATTATTCAGCACTTTATTTGATATTAATAGCAATACCCTTTACATAGGTTCGTCCACTTAGTTTGAGTAATGTACTGAGTACAAATGCATATATAATGATTTTTGAAATGGAGCAACAGACACAATCTCAGGTTCAAACGCAACAGACTGTCAAATTAAATGGTACAATAACTGTGAACAACACATTATCTTCACCAGGAAGTCCTATGAATAAAACTATAACTCCTAAAGCATCAACATCTGGATTATTCTCATTAAATGGATCAGTTAATGGTACATCAACAAGCAGTATTAAAGACAGTACTGAAAATTTAGAAACTAATTCACAAACGTCAACAAATAAAAACACAGGACTTCAATGTTCCACCCAAAAGAACACAAATTTTATCGGACCACAATTACCGCAAAAATTACAAGATAAATCTCAACCAAGATTAATTATGCACATTAAAAATGGAAAAATTTTAAATGGAAATAGTTTGGTTCCTTATGATGGATCCAGTGAAGAAGAAGATATTAGTTATATAGGAACTGTAAAAAATCATCCAAGTTCAAATACTCCACCAAAAACAAATACTTCTCCTGGCAGTACTAATGGTACACAAAAAAATTCTCCAGTAAAAAGTAGTTCACCTAAAATAATTGCTAATACTAAAGAAGTGCAAAAGTCTATATCAAAGGCAAATGGCAGTCGAGTATCTGAAAACCAAACTAATGTAACACAGTGTACAAAAACACAAAATGGTTCTGTCTGTAGCACCACTACAAATACAATTAAGTATCAAAATGGTAAATCAGAAGCAAATGGTAAAACGGAGAATGGTAGTAATAATATTAAAAGTAAATGGTATCAATCTGTTAGAGTAAAAACAGGACAAGAAGAAAAAGTAGTCACAAAAGCTGCAAGTAGTAGTATGAAAGGCTGGCAAGTTTCAAAAGATACGTTTTCTTCGACATCAACTACAGCTCCTAATGGATGGTCTGTGACTGATAAGTAAGTTATATTATAATTTAGGTATAATATAAAATAAACGGAATATAACTAATGTAGCTCTTGTGAGCGTATGTAGATAATACATATTTATGCGTATTTAATCATTGTTTTGTTATAGGGAAGATGTTAACAAAATTAGTCAGAATAATACCACCCTTAGTGCTGCAGCATTAAGGGATTTTAATGGAACGAATCGTTCCGATACAGTTTCCCATTTACTAAAGATGTCTCATCGTGGCTATGGCAGTTCTTCGGGTCAGTACAGCAAAAGAAATCCATTACAGACCAAATTGAATCCAGTTCCCTCAAAATCCTTACCAAGTCATCGTGTATCCTCGTGTCCTAAGTCGAAAAATTCTGTACAAAAAAATAGAACAAACACCGAAGAACTGAAAATTATGCATTCAAATGACCGAAAACCAAAAATCCAGTCCAAAGTCTTAACAAGATATTAATGCTTTTAATAATACTTTAAATTCATAAGCTTTTAAATGGTAAATTGTAGATATTACAAAATGTAACACCTGATCTTCGAGTCGTGAAATTGATAATATTTACTGTTATACTTCTGCTGAGTCAGTATTATAAAGATTATATTTTGTAATTTATTAAACAAAATTTGTTATGCATAGTAGCATTAAAAGGCAAAATATCAATTAAGAACTGTGTATAGTAGCGTTTTTATTGTAGAAATTTATCCGTTACAAATTGGAATGGCAACAGGACACATTTAGATCGAGAAGTTGACAACGATAGAAGGGAAGAACGTAAACGACACTTCAATACAGATGACGAAGAAATAGATCGAGGTCGAGTAAAAAAAGTAAAAGATCATCGGACATACGAAGAAAGAAGTAGCTCAGGATATAATCTATTCCAAGAATACCAAAATGGCAAAACGTGGAACCGATCTCTCGGTGGTTATTACCGGAGACATTATTATAATACTTCCAGCCACCCACGACCGCGGCATGGTAGAAATTATAGGCCTCCGCATTACAGATATAATCATTCTCGTGCGCATTGGCAACGAGGATAAAATAAAGAAAAGAGACAAATTACTGGGAAAAAATTTCGAAAGCAATCCGATGTCGAAAGACTTCGTTAGTTTTCAATTGCTAAAGCAAATTATAATTTTTCAATATGTTAAAATTGAAATACAGATGTGGCAGTGTTGATTTAGATAATTGATGTTGAAAATAATTGTTCAACACTTATTCTAATGAATCGCTAAACTGCATTGTAACAACCTTGCGTGTTCCTGACAAAGTCTTAATATACTTTTTATCATTGTCTACGGACACATTGTTCCATACGGTATATGGGGGATGAGTATCAGCAACTCTGCCAATCTTGTGTTCAGTATGAACGGAGTAAAAATTTGTTATAGAATTGAACAATATGATATGTCTGTTACTCATTTAGACTTACATACGTAAATATTGAAAAAGCTATGTATGGATGCAATGTTTAAAAGTTACATGAATAACCTTTAAACAGTATATTGCTAGGAATTTGAAAACATTTTTGGATAAACTTTTTATGCTTTAGTTGTGGATGTAACATTATGTTCTTGTTATTTAATTTGAATTACGCAATCGTAAAGTAATTTAACATTCATATTGTAGGATAATACAAAAATTTATAACAAGTACTTTATATTAATTTTACGTTACTTGCGTTACATTGATACTATCGTTTAATTAAAATTGCGAACGAGACGTTCCCCTCGCATATCTTTACTCGGTATATGTTTAATTGTTTATAAAATTTGATCTATACATTTTCAAATAAAAAAAGTGCATGCAATTATTAAGAAATAAAATTATAAACAAAAATAAATTAGTTTTAACATTATGAAAATGCAATTGAGTGGAAGATATTTTTAAAATTTTATGTTGGAGAATATTTTTTATTCTTCGCAACATAATAATCCGTCCTTTGTTTTAATTAATATAGATACTCCTCCCTCTTTGAGCTGTAGTAGAACGAATTCAAGGAGTAAATCTTGTTCAATTGCACATCAAACGTTTTCATGAAGAAACAGTTTTCATTGTCGCTTACTGAAGAGAAATATATTCATAATAACTGCAGTGATTAATCAGTAAGCAAATGATTTCTCTCAAATCATGATGAATATACATACCCCTGAATACACGCAATTTTAGTTCTTTTTTTTTAAATGTTATACATATACATTAAAATAATTCCAGAGCGATTATGGAAATTGTGCATAATTGAATGAAAAGTGTTTAATGATAATGGATTAATAATACCGAGTTACTGATATATTAGTTTAAAATGAAATTGTAAATTACGTAGGTAAGTGTAGAATTTTAATATGATGGACTTTTCATAGAGCATTAAAAGTTACAAAGCCATAGATAATTTGTTAAGCCAAGTATAAAAAGAAGCTGGCTGTATCGCCTGCTCGTTATATATAATACCTCGTTATATCATTCTACAAGTTAAGTACAAGCCAAAAGAAAGGAACAAGCATTCGTTAAAATCTGGCGATTATTACTGATTTTATGGTACCCAATGTTTTTCATTTCAGAAGGTACATGGACTCAAAGCATACACGCTGGACCTGTATCTTTATAGTAAATATTAGTCGCAATTTAATAATCACATTAGCTTGATATTGCGGTAAATATACTGTAATTACCGTGATATAGCCTTATATTAAGCACGATGTTATTGCATCCGCTGAGATATAATAATAATGGTCTTTGCATCGTATAAATTCATGTACCGTTTGGAAGGACAAGATTCGGAGTTCTGTAAAATCGATACGTCTGATATTGTAAACGTATGTAATATCGCTTTATACAGCGATAAATAGCGGTAAACGCCAGATTTAATTTATGTACTAAGTATCATAAATAAAATGGAAACTGTCATTTGTACAACATCCGAACTATTGATATGGACAGAGTGAAATAGATGATAAATCCATAGAAACCAATTCATTTATACCATAAAGAAAGAAAAGACTATCGCGTTTTCAAGCAGAGATTCTGTAAAGTCTGTAGACACATGTAATCTATTTTTATCTTTATCTTATATCTTTATAATTTGTAAAAAGGTAATTCTGCATATTTTTCGATCTGCTCCATCCTTTTCAAATGGAGTTTCTGGTAAAAAAAGAAGAAGCCTCGTATAGCGAGCTCATAAAAACACTCAAAAGAAATGTGAGTAAGCAATTTGACCCTTTCATGCTCGGAATATATTCATATTAATTATGATCGTTAATTTTATTTGAATAAAGTATCACCATAAAAATCCGATTGTACAATGTACTGATTTGGAAGATGAATGTTTCAATTACTTAGTATAAAAGAGTTATTAAACAATACAAAAAAAATTGACAGCCATGATTTGTGAATATATAGAAATGGAAAAGTGCATTAACGTTTACTTAAAAAAATAATTTAAAAAATGTAAATAAAGACAAACAACACAACATAGGACTATCAACATTTATTTAGGTAGCAGTCTTAAGAATAGAGAATAATTATAATTTAAAAATCAATTATGAATTGGATACCAAACTCATGTGGTTCCATAATATATCGCGTGGGCTTGCGGATAAACTTGATTCTTTATGGAAATTAGCTGAGGCACATGAACCAGCAGAAAATGAAATAAAACTGTTTGCCGATCAAATTGCAAATTCATGGACTTCGGTGAATCGTCGGGTAAAATTTGTTTTATTTCTAAAACACATTTTTCGTTTCCTAAATCATATTTCTTCATTTTTTACATTCATTTTATTTAAATTTTATATTATTCTTGTACGATCAAATATTTTGTTGAAGAAAAATATATTGTACAAATTTAAAAATTATTCAAATT